TATCTGGACAGTCAATGACATGTTTAATACTCTTCTCGAGCACCACAACCCAAAGCCATCAATTCTGTTATCCTTAGTCATTGTCCAGCTCTCTGATGCACACCAAGTAATTGTAAAGACCAAGGCCTGGATCAGGTGCGCCTGTCTCCAGACTGACAACTTTGCTCTTCAGCCGTCTGGAGAGGTCCCTGACAGTAGACTTTCTTAATCCACTTAGTCTTTTGATTTTTCTGACTGCTAGTTCCAAGAATGTTGACTGTGGATTCAACAAGCTGAAATTGTTAACAGTTTCGATCTATCATGGTGCTGCCAATTTGCCCAGCAGGAAGAATCTCTTTTCTTGATGGTGAGCTCCAATCCATATTGAAGAGTGCAGTCCTTGACCTTCTGCCGCAGACGCTTCAGGTCTTCCTCAGTTTCACCAAGTAAGGTTATGTCATCTAATGGGGTCCCGCCTTGTTATATCAAGCAGTTTCACCGAGAGAAGGGACGAGGATTAAATGAAGACACAGAGAGGCCATCACTGATGGCGAATAGCAAAGTTTATTATTGAACTTCTGTCTCATATTCTTTTTGCAGTGAACAGAAAAACAACTCAGCATCAAGGCCGACAATACATTTGTTTTGATATCCCCTCCACCTGCAAGCAAGGCTTCCAATTAGCAAGCAAGGCCATCAGAACAGAGTCTTCAGGGAGGGACATACTATTCCGCACATCCCTGCCTGGCCTTGGGGTTCAAAGACTGGTTAAACTTGGTCTTGCTCCTTTTCAAACATCTACACATTTGAACCTGGCATAAAATGGCTACTTGCTTAAAATGGCTGCAGTATGGCTCACTTTTAAACATCCTACTTCCTTGAGTTGTTTTTTTGTCAAACAGATACTATAGCCAAGATGGAGTTAGTCTTGCTGGTCTTTTGGTACAGGGCTAATCTTGCTTTACAAGTTAGCCAGGCCTCAACAGTCATCCACTTAGTGCAAGTTGTTGATGAGTCCCATTCTGATGCCACATTCCTCATAAAGACCAGCCTCCTGAATGATTCGCTCTGCATATAGATGGGAAAAGTATGGAAACAGGATGTATCCTGACACACTCTTTTCCTAATTTTATTTTCTTTGCAGAAAATTTTGTAATCGTGATTTTAACCAAAGTTTGTAGACAACTTAAGATTTTCATTCATTCATTGTTGCACATTTTTACCCACTCTCTCTCCATTCCCCCTCATCCAGTTTACTTTTACTGTTTTGTTTTAATTTTTTAAATATTCATTCATTATTGCACAATTACCTCCCCCAACCCTCTCTGCAATGTAAGTTTTATTCTGGGTTGTTGTCTAATATAGAATATGTAATCATGTATTCCTTTTAAACAGTTCTTTTCTTCATCTGTGTCTATGCAATGTTCATTATATATCCACTCTTACCCTACTCTCTTCCCAAACCCTTATGTCGGATATACTTTATAACAGTAGTATGGTGCAGTTATTTGTTTGTGACCGAGATTTTTCATTCAGCTTAATGTCCAGCAGGGTTACCCATACTGTATAATGTTTTATGACTTGATGGTTTTTCAGTGCTACATAGCAGCCCACTGTGTGAATATACCAGTTTTTCCTATTCATTTCTTTATTGATTGATGGGCACTTAGGTTGCTTCCACATCTTTGCTAGTGTAAGTAACACAGCAATAAACATGGGTGTGCAAATATCTGTTTGGATGGCAGTTCTGGTTTCTTTGGGGTGTATTCCCAGTAGTGGCATTTCTAGTTCAAATGGTACTTCTATTTCCAACTTTTTGAGAAAGCGCCAAAACACCTTCCATAGCAGTTATACCATTGTTTCCTAATTTTGAACCATGCAGTGTTTTCTTGCTTTGTTCTAACAACTGTCTCCTGGTCTAAGTACAGGTTTCACATGAGCACAAGGAGATTTTCCGGGGTTCTTATTCCTCTCAAGGTTAGCCAAAAAATCAATCTGTTGTGATATATAGTCAAATGACTTTGCATATTCAATGAAATAAAGACAGTCATTCTTCTGGTGAGTATTTGGGTGTTTATTTTTATAATGGTTAACTTTATGCCAAATGGAAATGCTAAACCAGTATTTGGCCAAATACTGCTACTCTAGTTGTTGTTTATGAGATAATGCACAAGGTAACCTTTTTAATAAAACAATGTACTTAATTATTTAAAAAGGAAGTTTCCATATTCTGTTGCTAGATACAGTTAATGTGGCAATCTTATTCTCTTTGCTCTGTAATTTTTTTTTTCCTTGAGTAATAGGTCTTGGGACATAGGCTTGCTAGAAGTTGATTTAATACTTAATTCATGAATTTGGGCTTGCCCATTTCCAACAACCACATGAGCCAATTCTCTGAAGCAAAACTCTGTGTGTATATATAATGTATATTTCTATTTACTTGGAGAATCCTAGGAAAATGATATGGTTTTCTCTACTTCTGAATGTGTTAGAATTTCTTTAACAACAACAAAAAGATAAATCAGAATAATGGGACTGGAAATGAGAGACAAGATTTT